ATCTCTGTACCAGTGTGATTGTGTAGAGGTGTGAACTGTTTGCTCAGTATGGATCTCACGCCCCTCCCGTTTCCCATCACCCTGCTCACCAGCAGCTAAACACAGTCACGATACTCTACACACAGAAACCCAACTGTGTCTTGACTCATCTTATAACAGACTCACGGCAATAAAATAATTCATTAGTTTATACCGATTGAAAATGTCTGGCAAGTCGATTTCCATTCCTCCAGTGGAATAGAATGGCAGTGTACAGTGAGAAAGGGTTAAAAAAAACAACTCATTGATTTATTCATTGATCAATTAAGAATGTCATATTTATGTATTAAATATTGGACTCAAATACTGTACATTTTTTGTTGTCGTTGTGCATTCATAGATCAAAACATATTTCAGTGTGCCAATTGTGGTTACATCAACATGTGGTTACATCAACAGGGGGAGCTGGAGTCAAGCCAATATCATACAAGAGAATAGGTTTAATTCTAGGGTCAGGATCGTGTGTAACTGAGACACACCTCAGTTTTCAACTAACTTCACCCTGTGTGTGTCGTGTTCCGGTCTGAATGGCATTTAAATCTGTAGTTCAATCTGAAGTCTGAATACTGATGTGTTATCAGTTTTGGTAAATTCTTACTACGTGTACTTCATTAAACTCAACATGCAGTCCTAAATGCACAAAAATAATGTGTGTAAATTATAAATAAAACAGAGGGAATATGAAAGGTGGTCAATGTAGAGAGAAAGTTAAAATGCTCAAATAGATTAAGTAAAGATAAAGATATATTGCTTATAGAATAGAATAGAAATGTAATAGTGTTTCATGAAGCCCTTTGTGGAGTCAAACAAACCAAACAAGGAGTTAAATAAACGATGACATCTCCCCATAGATGAAGAATCCATTTGCCCCAAAACTTAAAGCCATTTGTGTGCATCTGCAGCTGTGTTTTGAACTCTGACTTCCTGGTGCCACCAAGCTTTTCTTTTAGGTAGAGATATCCTGTAGGGACGAAGATGTTTTTAACAGACAGATGGAGACTTTCAGGTCCATTACCCTGAAGCTGGGCCAGCAGACTGTGTCAATAACACAAAAATTCTATTGATTTCCATACCAAGAACAGCACTTCTCACATATGCCATTTGACGTAGTGGGACGCTCTTCAGACGGCTGTTCGGTACAATTTTTATGACCCATGAGTGCTCTTTGAGCATGGACAAGCAGTGTCCGCCATTACCTGGGAACAGAACCCTAGCTGGTTTTATATGTTACTTCTTTACCACATTTTGTGAATTGCCACGATTTCTCCAATTATACGTTCAATATGAATACTGCGTTTTCATGGACATTACAGTTGCAAGGTGGGGTTATACTTGAAGTGTGGGCTAGAAATTTGTTTTATATAGAGAGTATATAATATTAAAACATTCAACATGAGCATGCCTTATAGCTCAGAGTTCACATATTCTCCAGATGTCTGTGTGGGTTTCTTCTGGGTTCTCCAGTTTCCTCTCAAAAACATGCTAGCAGGTGGATTTTTGGCCCTCGGTGTGAATATATGTTCATGGTGCCCTTGGTGTGTGCACTTTTGCCAAGGTTTTGGGATAGTGTACTAATAAAAAGGACAGTTCTCCCCTAAATTCCTTTTTATTTGGCCAAATCTCACAGAATCAAACAGACGACCAGCTACAGACGCGGTAATGGTTTGTGTTCAGAAAACTAGATTATTTGCCCTGTTACAGTATATTAAGTAAATAAGTTCATGGTTTAGTCCTCCGAAAGTCTTTGCTGGGTCTGCATCCAGACCGTGGTCCACCATGCGATGAGAAATGTTCTATGGGTTTTACTCAGCCACATGTTCTTTGCGTGTTTTTGAGCTTTTAGCTGTACAGTAAGCCTCAGATCCTGTCCAGATCTTCATCTCTTCTGTATTGTCCTAGGCTGAAGGGTAATGGGGCAGAAAGAACAGAAGAGAGACAGACTCCGAGCAGATGTACCCACTGCACCACACTGCACTGCAGTGTACAGAACCACTGTGGATAACTCAAGCTGTACTTAATGATGGGCTAATGATAATTACTTTCAAGAGAACAGGAGATTGGGTTCATAAAATCATGCATGATTCCACAAATACAACAACAATCTATATGCAAGAAATGATCATAACCAAGCACTGAACACTGTTTTTGTGGATTTAAAAACACTGAGTTGCTACTTTACTGAGATATGAAGTCTATTTACCAAAGATTTTATATCGTTTGCAGTCACAGTAGTTACATTTACCATCATTTTTTTTTTTTTTTTTTTACAAAGGAACATTAGGATAGAAGATGATGGGAGCAGCCAGTTCAGATGCTTCTATGATTGGTCATAACTGCCTACCCACCCTACTAATCCTGAAGAAAAGCATGTATCAGGATTTAATATGAGTAATTCCCTAGCTCTCAAAGTGTCATTATGTAACCATAGTAACTTACCGTCATGTGTAAGTGAGTTTTAGACCATTAATTCCCATTTATGCCTTGATGAAACCAAGTTCATGCACAATGTTGGAAAGAGAAATAGGTCTTTGAGAACACTGTGTGGGCCATATGAGTATATATGAGTACAGGGTTATCCTTGAACATAATTACACAAAATCTGGTACTGGTGTCAAGCAGCTAGCCTCTGCTATAACCTGAGTATTAGCTAGATACTGTACCAACATATTATGTAACCAGAGTTACATACGAGTTGTGGACTGGACCATTAGAGAGGGATGGTTCTGCAGCTTGAGTTCATGTTTATACCAAGTTTTAGCCAAAGTTCAAGCACTATGTTGGAAAGAGAAATAGGCCTTTGAGAACACGTGAGTCATGTGTTTTGTATAGGATTGTGCCTGTATTTTCAAGTTCTAAGCGATGTTTGGGCTATAACCAGAGTCATTAGCTAGCTTCCAAAGCATCAGAACGTAACCATAGTAACAACTCATTGAGATGTATAAGCATCAGGGCTTAGAGTCGTTGACTGGACCTTATATGGGGATGGTTCTGCTGCTTGAGTTCCTGTTTATGCCCAGTTTTAGCCAAACTGAAAGCAAAGTCAAGTACCACATTGGAAAGAGAAATAGGTATCTGAGAACACTAGATGCGCCATGCAGAACTGTGTGTTAACTATTAGCATAATTACCTACAAATCTGGTACTGATGTCGAAGTTCGATGCAGTAGCTTGTCCAAGTCGAAATGTGGCCAAATATTTACACCTACACTGTGGAATCTATTCAGGTTGTAATCTGTTTGGCCAGAGTATTCCAAGGTAATGCAATGTAACTGCAGTAACAAACCGTTGACATGTGTAAGCATCAGAGCTTAGAGTTTTGGACCGAACTATCAGAGAGGGATGGATTCTTATGCCATGTTTGCGCCAAGCTTAAAGCCAGTTCAATCACCATGTAGGAAAGAGAAATAGGTCTTTGAGAAAACTATGTGAGCCATGCACAACTATGTGTGCTGTATTAGCATAATTACCCCCAAAATCTGGTACTGATGTCAAACATTTCTCAAGTTCTAAGTAGGAGCTTGTCCAGGTGCCTGGCCAAATATGTACATCTGCACTGTGGAACTGTTCAGGTTGTAGTCTGTTTGGCCATGCTGGCAATTAGCATTGGCAGTTGGGCTTCTGCATCGTTCAGTCTGCTGAAATGAAATCTCAATCCCTTGCTTGTTGGCAGTAGACCGTAGAGTATTTATGAGAGGGGAGAGAAGTATGGACCGAGGCAGGCTAGTTCTTGGGTTGTTGGACAGAGATCAGTGATGGGATTCTCTTTGCCCAGAGCAAAGGACAGAATCAACATTTCATGCCTTGTTTTATGGCAATTGTGAGAGGCAAGATTCTAGATGATGCCATGTGTATGTGCATCATGTCTCACACAATCGCACAGTCAAATGGCAAAATGCAAAACTAGCAATGGAACCCTTCTAACTGCTCACATAAATTTAGAAATCCCTTTGCAGATGACCTAATCAAATGCACAATGCATAGTATAGTCTACTGTATATAGTGCTTTTATAAAAACCCATAAATTGATGACTATTAAAAAGTAAAGTATGGAATTCCAAAGTTTTTATATATATATATATATTTTTCTTTTTTTTTTTTTTTTTTTTTTTCCACATGCATGTATTCTCTCTAGTCTGCAGAGAACGGGGTCCATTTGCCCACATTGCTGTGGTCTTTGTGAAAACTACAGGGTGCTGGAGATCTTAAGCTTCTGGGTGAGATGGCCAAGTTGCGGGGCGTGCCCAGCGCTGGCACAAACCCTCATCAGAATTTCAGTGCCAGCACATGTGGAAGTGCTTAAAAGGCCATGAGCTGCAGCACCACAAGTCCCGCCGAGCTGAGACAAAGCAAATTACTCTCTGCTGGAGCACTATGGGCCACTGCCAAAATGGAAAAACAACCAGCCTTCAGCCTGACAACCACGATCGAGGCGTCATGAGGATGTAAAGAATGATATGGAGCATCCCACCTGTAGGGCACATGCCACATTGGTTTGAGGAAGGCTTGGAATTGTGAGTGCAGTACATTGTGTGAGCTATTGAATGAATCTCAGGTCCTGTTCTGTTGGTTCTACAATCAAGAATGATTTTACAAGCAATCCACACTTTCAGCAACCGGCGTTTGCACATAAAATATCAGGTATCTTTTAAATAAATCAGGTATCTGGAGCGCTTTGAAGAACGAAAAACAAGAAACAAAAATTCTAGTAATCTAGTAATGTGCCATCTTCAACCGCTTATTCCTTCTTCAGGGTCGCAGGGAACCTGGATCCTATCCCAGGAAGCATCAGGCACAAGGCAGGGTACACCCTGGACAGGGTGCCAGTCCATCGCAGGGCACAATCACATACACACTCACATACACACCCATTCATACACTACAGACAACCTACCAACCTACCAATCATGTCTTTGAGTACCCGGAGGAAACCTCCGCAGCACGGGGAGAACATGCAAACTCCGCACACACATGGCCCCGGGAATTGAACCCGGGACCCCGGAGGTGCGTGCTAACCACTAAGCCAACGTGTGCCCAAAATTCTAGTAATGTGAAACGTAAATCATCTTCACTGTTACGGAAACAGAAACATTGATTTCTGTTACTGGTTAATAATGTTGTTGTTTGTGTGTGTCTAATCTTCAAAATTCCAAGTGTTGTTGAATCTGCGTTACAAACTACATCACAATTTCATTTCATTTACACACACACTATGTAAAGTTATGGATTCAGTCCATGGATGGAGAAACATCCATCCTAAATTAAATTAAACTCAACAGAAAAACTCATTATGTTAAAGTTGTTAAATGCCACATGGACACTACAGACACTCAAAATGGCTAAACTGCTCACACTACACAACTTTTATGTGTTTAACTGTTTTGTGAATGTAGCAACATGCACAAAACTGGGAGTATACAGCAAGGAAATGTCACTGTTTCTGTGTCACGAGGAGTCAGTGTTTGGAGTTTGTTTATATTTTTTTTTCTCTTCCGAACACACATTTGGTTACGACATGCCAAAAATATTTCTCACAAAAGCAATACTATTTCACTTACCTTTTTCTCCAACAGAAACCGATACACTAGAATGGATTCAGGATTTTTCTTTCGGACTGTTGCTCGTCACTGTTTCACGATAGCGCTCATGTCTCCAGAAGAAGAGGAATATCTTGTGGGAACATCTGACTGGTCCCCATGAGGAAAACCATTTAGTTGCTAAGATTAGGTTCATATTTTGGTGTCAATACAAATACAGTTTGAGTCGGATAGCTTTTCAAATCTTCGACTTTATTACATTAGGTCTATGTAAAAAAAAATTTTACATTTCTTTCCTCTGTTTACATTCAATAGACAATAGACATTGTCTCAAAGCAGCTTTACAGAAATATCAACACGGTATACAGATATTAAAGGTGTGAATTTATCCCAAATGAGCAAGCCACTGAGTGGCGACGGTGGCGAGGAAAAACTCCCTAAGATCTTTTAAGAGGAAGAAACCTTGAGAGGAACCCGACTCAGAAGGAAACCCATCCTCATCTGGGTAACAACAGATAGTGTGAAAAAGTTCATTATGAATTTATATGAAGTCTGTTTGGCCTTAGAAGCAGCCGTAGTCCCAGCAATCTGGAATTGGAGAAGATTTGAGCTTCATCCAGAGGCAGAAAGGATCTGGATCTCTAGTATCTCCATAAATTTGTGTGGGGCTCGGCAAAAGGAGAGAGGGAGAGAAAAGATTATTATGACTGCGAAGTAGTACATTGGAACACAAGAACATTAAATTATTGGATCTGCTCAGAGGAAAATCAACTGATTTTCTTTTCAATTCCATTTCTGAGCCCTGGTGTCCTGTCTGTTCTGACGAAAGACAGTTGGCCAATCTTCCACAAAATGTCCTCAAAGATGTTGGGAAACATCAGATAAAATTGCTTTAAAAGATCCATGAGTGAGCCACCATGAATGTGTTCCACTGAGACCATTAGCATCTGCGGTACACACCATCCAGTGAGATCAGAGGCTCCACCACAATAACGCTGTCTCTGAGGTGCCGCCAAAACTGCCAGTTTCTCAGGCTACGAGCATCCGCCCTTCTCCGAGCAAAACGAGCCTTCTCCAATCCTTCACTTTTCACACCGGTCTGCATTTTCATTGCATTAGACCATCTCAAAAGCTGTACCGTGCGCTCGCTCAAATGAGAATACAGGGAATTTAGAAATGTGGGCTGAAAACGTGGACTGTAATATGTGGATGAAAGTCTTCTGAGGTTTTGAAAAAAAATGTACTCCAAGCTTCAGGCTTCGCAACAACTTGATGCCACCAGAGACAGACTACTAAACTGCGAACGCTCTCACAGGACACTTGGACCCGTTTCCTACGCCACATGCTTGAACTGCAATCACAAACGTCCCAGTTACACCTTAAAAGTTTCCCGCTTTATGGTGTAATAAACTGCGGAATATATGACTCTTTAAAAACTCCCAGCCAGACCTGATCAGTATGGAGGAATTCCAGGTAGCGTGTGGACTGACACACTGATATAATCAACACCAGATTGAGACACATGACAGATTTAGAACCTTTTCTAATCCCACCATATGAAGGACTTACTGATACACGCAAGTTTTCTGAAGCATCTCATCATTTTATCCTCGAAGAAAAGGTGACTGTTAGTGTTTAGAGTTTGGGGGCCAATGTGTCTTACTAATATTTAAATATATGTGCTTGCTAAAATACTTCAGAAATCGTTTTTTTTGTTTTTTGGGGTTTTTTTGTTGTTGTTTTTTTTGCATTAATGTGTGAATCAGTTGCACATTTCATTCTTTAAACATTCTCTTCCAAAAGTTGTCCTTTACAGGTTATGAAAAATGGACATTTTAGTCCGACAACATTTTGTAAACTATTACTAACTTTTAAAAATGAACATTCCACAAGCTACATCTTCAACAGAAAGTTGCATCATCGAATTGAATTTCCTGAAGACTATGTGAAGAAGAAAAGCCTTTCATCCTTTTTTCTTTATTTTTCAACAATATTCTGATATTTGTGTATTTGCGAATTCTATACTTAAAACAAACAAACAAACAAACAAACCCTCAACTCGGTTAGTAATTTTACACCCAGTATTCGCAAAGGCTCCCTTTTAAAAGTGAAATTGTTTTGTTTTCAATGTCCAAATTTTCTTAGATTCAAAAATAAAAAGAAATTCTGTGATAAATAAAGCTTCATTTTTGGGAGTTGCAATGGCACCATAGTCGTGCCTAATTTAACACTTGTGAGTCATCTCAAGAAAGAAGATGGATGACTAGCTGATGAAGCGCACTGAAATGTGCACTAAAAACAAAAACATATTTAATTTCCCATTAGAGTAAACTCGGAGAACTCTGATTTTCAATAAACAGCCCATTTAAATGTCTACGAATCGCCATTAAATGCTCAAGAAGAGAGTTTAGAGAGTTGACGAGAAAATACCACTTAATGATCGCAAATGTTCAACATTACATGCACTTGGAACATTCCAGGCTTTAATTTAAAATCATTCGGAGATTATTTTTGGCCAATCTTACGGACCAGACCTGACACGTCGAGCTGAGCTGGGAGGGAGACGCTCCGTGTCGCCGAGCTGATGGTCGTAGGAGACACAGAGGGAGACGGAGACTGCTGAGGACATGTGGTGTGATGTGCTGTGTGTGAGTGTGTGTGTGGCTTGCTGTCTCAACGCTCTGTAATGAGGTGATTGAGGAGTGTGAAGCCTGGATACGGGGAGTGGCCCGACCACAGGCTGCTGACTCTGATTAACATGTTTACACACACAAAATGATGGCAGAGAACAGAGAGTATGCCTGGTGGATATCTACGTGCCTATCTTTAAACACACATTTGCTGTGCTTGTTCAGCTCTGTGCCGCACTGCTCTCCTACTTGTGTGTGGTGTGTGTGCTCTGTGGTTGCTGAAGTGACAATATGTGTGTGTCCATTACACTCCCGTTCCTATAATTAGGGCCTTACTTAGTCGGTTTGTCACTCCCTTCGCTCCTTTCACTGTCATTTCCAAATCAAATCTACACTGTGTGTGTGTGTGTGTGTGTGTGTGTGCCGTGGTTGACTATGTAAAAATTCTGCCTCGTCTATTTGGATTATACTTTATTGCCCTGTACAGATATGATCCCCCTGTGTGCCTCCTCAGCCTCGACTCGGGGTTGTTACAATTAACTTATATCGCCAAGCTGTCGAATTCTCGATTCTGATTGGTCAGTAGGTATTGATTATTTTTCTATAACGGCACCTCGGACAGTAGTTCAAATCACAGGTTTATATTAATGCACTCGTTCTGATGTCCTTCCGTTTCTATAGTAACAGCCCGATCGTAAGGACGTGCATGGCAGATGCTCTACATAATCCAGAACTCATTAGGAACAAGCGATAAAATTCTTACAAAATAATCGTTGATATTTTGAAGCCTTCTGGCATGAGGCGTATTTACCTTTTATGGAAGGAGTCTCCAGTGTCAGCACTTGTGTAACAGTCAAAGGTACGTTTTCTGCCACGAGAAAGGATGGATGACTTTGCTATAGTCTACAGTAAGTGATAACAGGAACTACCGTGCTTCAAGGACCTTCCACAACATTAAATGTAACTATAAATTGATAAAAAGTACTATGTGATGTTTATTAATAAATGCATAAGAAGGAATGATGCTGTTTTTACAAGTGAATATGTATACGCTGATTGATCTAAAGTAAATACTTGTATATACTGCATATACAGTGCTACTTTGTTTTCTGTTGATGTTGTGAGCAGCCATGTTGATTTGACGTTACTTGCTGAACTCGGGGTTGCGGAGACCATCCCGGGTTTTCGAGTAGGAATTTCGGGTTAAGGGGGCGTTTTCTTTGGTCTTCCTAGTCAGAGATCAGACATTACAAGTTATGACCGTCATTCAAAAGCTAGCATAAAACACTTCGGGATGTGCTGGTAATATGCCGAAAATCATCAACTTCAGGATGGTAATAGTAATTCCATTTCACATTCGGCCACATCACACCGTCCTGCCATTGATTTTCCCATAACATCATGCCCTAAAGTGTTCCTTATTTAGTTGACACTTCATTAGGTACAATGTGCTAATCATCATCATCATCATCATCTCGCCTTCATCTGTATTAGTTTTCTTGGTAGTTGGACTGGGCACAGCGAGCAGTAGCAGAGATGTTTGGATCGTGAGAATCTCCAGCACTGTAGTAGATCTACCTGATCCCCAAAAAAATAAAAAATAAATCCAGCTTTCAATCTTCCCCTAGAACAAAAATGACTAAAACTCAAACTACAATAGCTGTCCTCAGTTCTCCATTGTGTGTATGTGCATGGAATCTGAAATGGTGACATTATCTCTTCCTGCTCCACCTGTTGTCACCCACACACACACACACACACACACACACACACACACACAGAGCCCTTCAGTTCTTCCGCCACCATATGGAAGAGTATGAGTGGAGATAGGTGTAGCATGGCTGCAGTATCAGACACCAGATGCTA